ATGGGGAAATTCACCTTGCCCTGCCGTGCAACAAACAATTACTAGATTTTGTACTGTGGTAAGATCCTCAAACGGACAATCGTCCATCGCCATACATTTGGCATTATAGCCACGGTCAAGAGCGCCTTTTAGTAATTTACGTGCAACTCCTTCAGCATTACCACCATCAGATCCGAAAAGTATTAAAAGTGGAGGACCTGTTAGCCCACCCAGTAATTTTTCGTAAGCAGATTTAGCACGAGCTTTTTGACGAAAAGCAATTTCCGACTCTAAAGATGATGCAAGAGTTGTTGCAAGTTCTGGATTAGCGCGTACAAGTTGAGTAAGATGATTCTCTCGGTCAAGAAACGCTTGAAGTTCTTGTTTTATTCGTTCCGAGTCCAATGAGAAAGGTTCTTTTCCTTCTTTTTCTAATGCAGGATTCCATCGATATAGTGGCCAATATCCAGAATCAACTGCCTGTTTTGTATTTTTTAAAACCGTGATTGTAGTATCGTTAACTTTTTCATATGGTAAATAAGCCAACACGACTGAAGGTCCTTTAAACTTTTCCGCTTCCAATATTGCATGTAATGCTTGTGTATAAGACGAATAGACAGCAATTGATGCAACATACACGTCGCCATAATTCATAGCATATAGACCAATATCTTTCTTTCGTTTTTCAGGATCATCAACCTTGTATGGATCATACGGTTGAGAGTCGATAATTAAAAGATTAATATCTTTTCCAGAAGATACTACATGATGAACACCAGAAAAACCAATATCATAAGACCATGCGTCTGATCCAATCAGCCATTGTGCAGGCTTGACAAATTGATCTTTATGATCATAAATTTCTTTAAGAAATGGGTGACTTTCCCTCAGTTTTGAATCGGATAGTAGTTCGATTGCTTTTTGGCTATGTATACTTGAGAGATTAGAGTCGTCTTTATGTAAGATCCACTGCGAAAGAGCTGAATGGAGGTCCTCAGGTAGTGTAAGTGATACGTCTTTAACTACTTTTGATACCAGTTCAGAAAATTGTGCTCGATTTTGGAGTTTTGCCAATAATACTCCAAATCCGAATTCCGGAGTTGATTTTATTGACTCAAGATGTCCTACAGTAGATTCTGAAATAGCATTTGCCACATATAATCTATCTGCAAATAATTCTTTAAGCATATTGAAATATGAGGTTTCTAATGTAGGAGGTTCGAGAATCGACTTTGGTTCCACGCCATAAGAAATACCATTCGTATCTTTTGAAGAAGATTGATATTTATCAAAGTTAAAGTCTCTAAGCGGATCATTCAATGACAGATTATCAAAGACCGCATAAATAGCACTATCGAGAGATCTTTCGTCGAGGCTACCAAAAGAACCACCAAAAATACTTGGAATTTCTCCCGACCAGGAATCGCTATTCTGAAATGCTGCCGTCACATCCAGATACACTGGTGTCCATTGTATTGTGCGTTTGCTGATTTGTTCTAATACAGCAACTTTTCTAACTGATTTTGGAATAACATTTAAGAAATATTGATCTGACCATGGACGATATAACCGTATCTTTATTATAGCGACCTTGAGATTAGAATGGAATTGAATCCCTTGTTGAATTGCTTGTTGAAAAGCTACGGGCCCAGATCCTAGTGTAATTAGAAGGGAATCGGCCTCTTGATCTCCAGAAAATTCAATAGCATGATAAGAACGTGCTGAATTTCTTTCAAAAAGCTTAAATACTTGATCTGCAATTTTAAAGTAATCAAAATTTTCGTTTTCATTGTTGTTATCATTGTTACTGTTGTTATTATTCAAAGTCAATTCATCAACGGATCGAAAATAAATTTCTTTCGGGTTATCTTTTTGGTCAGAAATAGCCTTTCTAGATTCACGATATTTCACAACATCTGTTTCATGAATAATCAATTTAATAATATCGTGACCAAAATATGTGAGTCTTTCATGTTTATCATGTTTATCAGGATCAGACGATCTTCTAGATGAAATAGAAGAGATCGACGAGGCTGAAGACACCAATAATCGTGACAAATGCTTGTCAAAAAAATGCAATACAGGTACACCAGTCTTTATGGCCAGAGCATGAGCAATCAATGCAACATCCATCGTTTCCTGCCCACCGTTAGATTTTAATAACGCGAATCCAGTTTGCCGAACCGCCATCACATCCGAATAATCAGCTAGATTATTCGTCGGATTCAAATCAACCGCTACGTGAATCACTAACCCCGATTTTTCATTGGCAATTTTATAAAGATGTGGTATGGCGGGTATCAACGTTTTTGCGGTGGTAAGCACCGAAACCAAGGCACCACTAGCGTTCTCTGCATGTATCTTTGAAAAAGGGTCACTGTTTGCTAACAATACGTGTACTTTAGGAATTTCGCCAAAAATATTTTTAGCTTTTTCTTGTTCACGTCGTGCTATTTCGGTGGTAAAGTTTGTGTGGTATTTTCCAAGTACTGGTGGTGCAGGTTCAATTGTGTATATTACATTGCTACAAGCATATGCGATGTCTGCTGTTGCTACTTGTGGTTCGGCCATTTTTATTGTTTTTCATAAATTTTACCAGTATCTTTAAATACGAAAATTGAGATTTTCGATGATCTCTTGCTGAGTCATTAATCGTCAACTAGAACGTGTGAATTTAGTTGGATAAATGCGTTCGTTTTTTATGACTGATTTAATTTCATTTTGATTTAGTTATTGTACTACCCGCTATTGATGCGTTCACCATTTTTTATTGATTTTATTAATTCAGAATTCCATTCTACGAGATAAACTTCTAACTTATCCTCTTATACCATTCATCTTTAATCCTCGGATATAGAATATTAGCTTAATGATGATGATGTTATGAAAAACTTATCACGTCTGCTGAATACAAGTCAAGCGAGCATCGTAAGTAGTGGATAAATAAAATACACAAAAATCATGGATTGAATTTGCTAACCAAAACTGACAATTATTATTGATATATTAAATAACACGTAATAAATCAACTGTTTGCTTATCGATTATAATTGATCATAAAAATGAGACTTTTAAGTTCGTCTACTTTTTACAATCAAAACGGGACAGTGTGCATGTTGCTGGCAATAATCCGAAAATGATCCCACAAATAACCTATATATGAAAATATGACGGCAGTGATAAAAATCAGACTAAAACGAAATTGTTAAAAAATTGGGGATCATAAAACAATAGAATGAAGAAAAACCTCTTCCAAGTAGATAAATCCCGGCTTCCCATTATTAGTACATCCGCTTTCATTTGTTCAGTGTAATCCACTATAACATTAGACGTATCAATTTTGGATTTTACTATTTCTAAAGTTACAGAGATCTGTATCAATTGGAGCAAATAACTATTCAATAAAATCTAGAATATATAATATGGTAGATAATTTTTTTGCAAAATTACATTAGACAACTGTAGCTTATTGACGTATTCTTGAAGCGAATCGCGTGTTTTCTGTTCAATCTACAAAAGGTCAAATTAAATAGCAAAATTGTAAACTAACGAAATTAACGGACTAGATAAATAAAATTTATGGGTAAGAAATTCGTAATAAATTCGTAGTACTTCTTTTTCCCAGTTCATGATATATTCAGCAGCGTAATTGATATTCATTCCTATTAGAAAAAAACTAATTGGTCTAATTTCTCGAACCTGTTCGCATTAATCACAATACAAAGTGTCCGCACCCAGTTCAGTTGCTTCAAAATCAGAGGTCAAAGGCAGAGCTGAAACCAAATAAACGTCATCTTTCTCTGGCTTAAGAAAGTTTTCGATTATCCATTCAACTGTATAATTTGCTTCCTCTGAAGCGGGATCCAAAGCAAGCACTACTTTGCGTCGAGACATTGCGTAACAGTATTTACAGTCGGATCAAAATCTATCTGATCAATTGTCACATGACTAATAGAAGGCAATTTTTCTTTATGAAAGGAAGCACATTGTTTCTCAAGTCTTTTAGAATCTGTTTCACTTCATGCAAGAATTACACAAGAATTACACGTTATATACTCCTATTAAACCGGATAAACTTTGGGCTGAACTTCTTCGTCCAGTTTAACGGGAAAGCCTGTTTAACGGAAATTTGGTTAAACAATTATTTTTATTTGCCCACTAACGAGTGTTAGCCAGTATTTTTGATGTTATGTATTTTGATGCTAACTAAATTTGAAATGATTCCGTAAGTTCGTGTCGTCGCTGCATGAGCTGGTTGTAATAATATCTTACATATAATTTTGTTTATTATTAATCACACCCCAATTTGGTTTGAACAATTAAGTCCTTCTATTAAATCACCATATTATGCAGAGAAAAAGCCTAAAAGAAAAAAATGCACATAAAAAGACATTGATACACATTCAAATGACCTCTCTATTTTATCGAAATTTATTAAAGAAGCTTAACGGGCTTTTTTCATTTGGAATTGTTCCATCATCATCATAATCATTACCACGATCATAACCTCAATAAACTTCTGTTTATATCTACCAAATAATCTTGCATAAATAAATGACAAATGCATTAAGATTTCCCAAGCAGGTGAGTACAGATTGTTGTGTCGAAACTTGTAACATTACTTGACGAACGACCGAACCTTGCGTACCAAATGAGCGCAAATGACCGCACTTATAGCTATATTTTAGGTAAGAAGCAAGATTTCGTCAGCGAGAATAATATCAATTCGTATAAATGACGGAAATAAAGTAGTGATACCTTCCGTACGCGAAATTTCAGAATAATTAAATAGCATCATCGAGCTGGTGATACTTACAGCTTTGTGTGTGCGTGTGTGTGAAATATACTTCAAAACTTTATTTCGAAACTAATATAAATAAACCCACCAGATTTTTTCGAATTGCGCGATAACCACGAGTCATCAACAATATATTATAATTTTTAATCTCTCATCCACGCACACATACACATATATATAGACAAATAATCGCATAAAATAAATAATGCATCAAAATAACAATATGGTTCTCTTGACCGATATAGTAAAAACATTTGCCACAAGTTTTCAAGATAATACAACATCATCTGGCGATTTTGAATTATCAAAAATTACTCCTGGTAAAGCAGCAAATAATCATTTAGAATTACCTAAATTTGGACCAATACACCAACCCGAAACGAACGTTTCTGAGATTTCCGAAACATTAGACTTTCTCTCTACAGCCGCGCAATATTTTTCCCAATCCGCCATCTTTGAAGTTAATAATCATCCTAATAGCAACCATAAAAATAGAAAAAATCGAAGAAGTTTCTTTACTCAAGTAAATGAATGTGATGATATGTTTCTCCTAAATGAAATAATGCCATCACGATCACATTCACGTGCTTCTTCGAATGTGAGTGAGTTTGAATATGATTTTAGTTCCTCGAAGACGTTCTGAATTCCTTTGGGCAATTCAACTTCTTGCGGGATCAAAGTTATGCGAGGATAATAGTTTTTAAAGTTAATATTTTAATTAAAGTTACTAAAATCTGTAAATAGTAAAAATTAATTAATGTAATATAATTAATATAATTTTAGATTATCTATGACCAATAATAAGTAATAAATAATATAATTGATCTTTCTTTTTTCTGAGAAATAAATATGAACACGAAAACTATAGGGGTATTGGGGGGAGGTCAGTTAGGTCGAATGCTTGTTGAGGCTGCTTCCCGCTTAAACATCGGGGTTGTTATTCTTGATATCCCGGAAGACGCGCCTGCAAAACAAATACAGGCTAATTATCCTCACATTTCGGGTGACTTTAAAGATCCCGAAAAAATAAAGGAACTTGCCAAATCCGTTGATATATTAACCATAGAGATTGAACATGTCAATGCAAATGCCTTAGAAGAAATAAAAAAGGAAACGAACATTGCCATTCATCCCTCACCTACATCCATTAGTCTAATTCAAGACAAATACGCACAAAAAATACACTTATCAAAACATAATGTTCCTGTCGTTGATTTTATTGAGGTACCAACACAGAATCATATTTACCCTGCGGCGCAAAAATTTGGTTATCCATTGATGTTGAAATCAAAAACAATGGCTTATGATGGTCGCGGGAATTATGTTGTTAAATCCGAGAATGATATTGATCAAGCGATAAGCTTCCTCGGAAACTTCAAGACACCATTGTATGCGGAAAGATGGGCTCCATTCAAGAAAGAATTAGCCGTGATCGTGGTTAAAAGTATAAATGAACAACTGGAAAGTTACCCAATTGTTGAGACAGTTCATAAAAATAATATTTGTCATCTGGTGATTGCACCTGCTCAAGTTAATGGTGCTGTATTAGATGAGGCAAAGAAAGTGGCGGAGAGTGCAATAAAAACTTTATCAGGAGCCGGAGTTTATTGCGTGGAAATGTTTTTGATGGATGAAGGTTATAAGATTTTCATTGATTATTAAAATTTGAAATTTTTATTGTAATATTAATTAATTTCTTCAATCAGGGAAAATATTTGTAAATGAAATTGCGCCTAGACCTCACAATTCAGGACATTATACAATAGAGGCATGTGAAACCTCACAATATGAAAATCATCTTCGTGCGATTCTGAACTTACCTTTGGGAAGTACAGCTCTCAAAGTACCTGTATCAGCGATGGTCAATATTCTTGGTCTCTCGTCCAATCTAGAGGAAACTTTACGACCAGCTGCACTCGCTCTCACAATCCCAGGGGCAACTGTTCATCTTTACGGGAAAAAAGAATGTAGAAAAGGTAGAAAGATGGGACATATTACTATAGTGGCAAATTGCATTCCTGAACTTTATAAACGTTTAACACCAATAATACGAGCTATTGATGAAAATGACGCACCACCTTCTAGCATACAGCCTCTTGTCGGGATAATAATGGGCTCTGACTCTGATTTACCGGTTATGAAGGACTGTGCCGTAATTTTGAAACTATTTCAAGTACCTTTCGAAATTTCAATTGTATCAGCTCATCGAACGCCTGATCGTATGAAAGAATACGCAGAAAACGCACATAAAAAAGGAATAAAAGTAATTGTAGCTGGTGCTGGTGGTGCAGCTCATTTACCAGGCATGGTTGCCGCTTATACGCCATTACCCGTAATCGGGGTCCCCGTAAAAGGAAAAGTTTTGGATGGTATCGATTCAGTACACAGTATTCTTCAAATGCCAGTAAGTGAATTTTCGCATATAAATTTAAGAACATATTTATATAACACAATAAATAAATAAATAAATCATTTTGACTAGGGTGGTATACCTGTTGCAACTGTTGCGATCAATAACTCGAAAAATGCTGGATTGCTGGCGGTTCGGCAACTTGGTGCTTTCATTCCTGAATTTGCTGAAAAAATGACGGTATTTTTAAAAAATCAGGGCGATGAAGTGAAAGCCAAGGATAAGCGATTACAGGAAGTAGGTTGGGAAAATTATTAAGTCGGTTAATATCTGAAATTCAATAATTAATTCGATAGGGATCTCATCGTCTATATCTAACTGAATTGGGATAATTAATACCAGCAGAGTGACTGATTTAATGAGCGTAATTCAAGATTTTGATTATGTTATTTTATATTTAGTATTTGTATAAACAGTATACTATATAATAATAAATCAATTTCTTTAAATTATTTTTAAATTGCGCAATTTGAAAAATTATACGTATTTCTATCTATCTTTTCATAGCAATTTAATCATACCAATCCAAGAACAATAATATAAAACTAGCCAATATTAAAAAAATTAAGATCCCTTTTCGCGCGTCTTGCGCTCGTTGCCGTGCTTTAACAAGCATTAAATTGCCTTCTTGAACTCTATCAGTAGTGGCAATCGCCTCTGCATACAAACGATCAGTTTGTTGTGTTTGTACCGCAAGATGACTTGATAAGACAGATTGCAAATTAGAAATTTCGAGTAAGGCTTTTTCGGCTTGGCTAATTGAAAATAATTTGTAATTAACAAATCATTAAAGAACGTGAGAAATGAATATATATTTGCTGTACGTACTTGACTTGATCAAGTGTCGATTCTAATTCTTTCATCATCGACTCGTTTTCCATTTCTAACATCATTTTCTGTTCAGCTGACAAATATCGTTCGATATCATCATCTTCCGAGGTGATTACATTAGTATCAACATTGTTTTCTTTATTTTTGGAAGAAGAATCTTTTTCATCTGATGAATCTCGTAACACTAATGGAGGAGTCATTGGTTTGTTTGTTGTTGGTTTAAGTAACGATCTGGTATAATAAAAATAAATTAGTTTTAGCATCATCAGGAAATTGCAGAATTCCTGTATTTCGTCGTACCTTTCTCTCTTCTCAATCTCTCTACGAATTCTAGATTCCTGTAATTCTTTCTGTATTTTTGAGACTTGCATTAATCGCATATTTAACAACCATGTCACGCTACTCCTATGTGCCGCGATAATGTCGTGCTCGTTAGGTGTACGAAGGGTAGGCAATATCTTCAATAGGGGATTATTCATGATTGAATTTTGTCGTGCTAATTAATAATTACTTGATTAATATTATAGCTCTATCTCAAATTATTATTAAACTTAAAGAACCAGTGTTTACACCCACACCTTCTTCTGCTTCCTCTAATTTTTTGATTCTATCCATGCATCTCTGCATAATGACTTTTGCATGCAAATCAATATCATCTCGTTCTTTATCTGTGAGTGTTTGAATAGACGCGCTTATCTTCGGCGAAAACCCCTTCTCTTCGATGTCAGAAAAAGAAGTCGCATTGTAGCCCATCATTTTTCTAGGAGAACCTACTCCTACAGAGCTATGCGATAAATTCAGATACACTTTGCGAATTGAAAGTAGAAAAGCCTTCAGGTTGTTTATGTGTGAAGCCTTGAGAAGGACGATGATGTGGATAATAAGTCGATAACACCGTATTCTCATTCATTCAAAAGGCATCTACTAACTTACTAGTATACACAATTATTTTGAATTAATAATTAAATTAATTTCGTTGGTCAAATTACTTACTATTTCGTAAGCTTCTTTTAAAAATGAGTCATTGACATTGTGGAAATTCTTTTTTGTAGGCGGTAAAATATCGGTGCGTTTCGGTTTTTCTGTTGTTGACACGTCAAGATTGGTAACGATTCGTCGAAATTCTACTGTTAAATCTGCCATTTTGTGCCAAAGTCGATACAGATAAGTCGTCAAATATTTTTTAATGGATATAATATTGGTAGTGATCATCAGGTCACTTGAGCAATAGATTAGTTATGAAAAATATAAATTATATAAAAATAAAAAATTAATAGACTATACTTAAATTATTTATTAAAGAATATTAATATATATAAAAAAGTTTCATAAAAATGCTATATAAAAAATAATATTTATTAAATTTTAAGAATAATATATAGTGATAATCTAAAATAATGTGATACTTAAATTTTTTACTAATTATAATTAGTAAATGCATGTTTTTTCTCATATATAAAAATTTTTAATTTTACTAACGAATATTTTTTATTTTTAGCTCAGAAAATAGCTAGTTTAATATATTTTTTCAGATTTTTCAGATTTTTCAGATTTTTTATTAGTAACTTATTCTAATTATATATGAAGTTAATTAATTTTTACTAATTATTAATTAATAAAAATTAATTAATTTCATATATAATTAGAAAAAAAATATATTAAACTAGAAAACTTTAGCTATTTTTTGAGTTAAAAATAAAAAATATTTGTTAAAAAAATTAAAACTTTTATATAAAAAAAATATATATTTTATTAATTATAATTAGTAAAAAATTTAAATATTATATTACTTTTGATTATTATAATATAAATGATTTTTTAAAAAATTTTTTATAATAGATTCAAAAAAAAATAAATTTTTAAAATTTTTTAAGTTTATAAGAAGAAATATTATTATTTTTATTTATTAATTTTTATTATAGCTAAATTTAATTAATTAATATAATTAATATAAATTATATCTTTAATATTTAATAATAAATAATTTAAAATTTGATTTTTATTTTTAAAAAAATAAAAAAATTTATTTTATTTTATTTATTAATTTTTATTATAGTTAAATTTAATTAATTAATATAATTAATATAAAATTTTATTTTTAATAATTAATAACAAATAATTTAGAATTTGATTTTTTTATTTTTAAAAAAATTAAAAAATTAAAAAATAAAAAAAAATTTAATTTAATTTATATTTAAATTAAAAAAAAATATATTTATCACTGTAAATGACAAAATCAAATTATATAATTTTCTAATTAATCATAATAATTATCACTAGAAATAATATAGCAAGTATATAATACTTATTTATTACCTATTGCAATATATTATAACTCCAAAGTTTTATAAATTATAACTAGTTATAACTAAATAATACTTATTTATCATCATGTTATAATAATTAAGAAATCATCTTTAGTTATCACATAATAATATAATTATTGATACAATTATATTTTATATAACCTATTAATTAAAAAAATCTTGCTTTTTTATTATTACTTTTTTTTATAAATGAACCTATCCTTCTTTATAAGAATACTAATTAAAATAGTAATAACGAATAATATACAATCCAGCAAGAAAATAATGAAAAATATAGTCTAATAATAAAATGAAATACAAATTAATAATAATAAAATAATATAGTCTAGTAATAATAATAAAATATATTTTACTAATAATAGTAATGAAATAATATAATTTAATAATAATAATAATAAAATATAAATCACTAACAATAATAGTAACAAAATAATATTATCTAATAATAATAATAAAATATAGTTCATTAATAATAATAGTAATAAAATAATATTTTCTAGTAATATTAATAAAATACAGCTTATTAATAATACTAATAATAAGGAGAAAGATCTAGTTATTATAGTTACAAGATATTATATTACTCTTAATTTTCTCTATCAATATTTTTATAGAATACTAATTCAAATTCATTCTTTTACTAGTTTTTTTTCCTATTATCACTACTAGTAGTATCATTTTTTTCTGAATAAGTCTTTTAAATATAGAATGATATTATAAATATTTTAATAATTATACTTTACAAGAAAATTTTATTATTATTAAGATTAGAAATAAATAAGATCCATCTTTAAAAAGAACTTACTAATAATATACTTTTACATATAATTGTTAAGATACTTATAATTTTAAGAAGACTATAATTCTAAAAAATTAATAAAATAATAGATCAAAGTAATCTAATTATACTTGATATATTAAATATAACTTTCTCAAAGAAAGTTATAATTATTAATATAATATTATTAAAGTTTAATTATAATTATCTACTTGTTCTTATAATTAATTTATATACTATAAAAAATTAAATTTTATTTGAGACTATTTTATAAAAAATTTACTTTTATATAGTTAAAGATAATCTTGATATAATAATTTAGCATTAACTTTTCTCTATCAAGTTTTCTGATATTATAATATTTTTACATGATCTATAAAATTAAATACAGAAATATAAGATAGAAAAACAAAAAAAAATAATATAGCAAGACTTCTAAAATATTTACTTATCAAAAAGATTAAGAAATCAGGTTAGAAGATATTTTAAAAACTTAATTATAAAATAAATAGTCTGAATAAGTTATTTTAAATATCATTAGATCAAGTTCAATGATGAATTACCTATTATAATATTATATTAAATAATAATATATATAAAATAAATTAATATAATATATCAATTTCTTTATTTATAATTATTAATAATTATTTTTACATCTATTTTATTATTTAAGCTCTAGTTAATAATAAAATAAAAGAGATATATAAGTGATTTCTTATATTTTACAAATTATAAACTATACTTTACAAGTTTTTATTATTGATACTGATTCTAATATAAATATTATTATAAATAATTAATATAGTGATATATATTTACTTCATTATATCTATCATATTTTATAAAATCTTCTACATAATCTTAAAGCTTCTCTTAATAATATCTTTATTAACTTTTTGAGAGATTTTTATATGTATCAGAATATTCTTTCTTCTATTAATTTTAATTCTTAATGATATAATATTATTAAAATATATCTTAGAGTAGCTAATTATCTTAACTTAAAGCTCTATTCTAGTAAAGAAAAATAAACTAAGATAAAGATAGTATAATAAGTATATGATTCTTATTTATTACTTATTATAATATATTATAGCTCTAAAATTTTATAAGTCATAACTAGTTATAACTAAATAATACTTATTTATTATCATATTATAATAATTAAGAAGTCATCTTTAGACTAAGATATATATAATAAAATTTTTTACTATTAATATCTTATTAATATTATAGATTGAAAATAAAAACTCAGTAATAAAGAAGAATCTCTAAGATTATCCTAATCTTTATGAACTTGTAGCTATTTTGAATTAGTGACTGTATGATAAAGTATAATATATTAATTATAATAAAAGATATTATATTAATATAAGTATATAATTAACTAATATTTTCTTTATGTATTTTTCTGAAATTAATCATATTTTTAAGAAGTATTTTATTAAAGAAATACTTTCTTAATAAAGATATAAAATTATATAATTATTCTATTATTATATAATAATAGAAAATGATTATTTGATTAATAATAAATCTACTGAAGAAGAATATGACTTACAGTAAATTTACCTGACTTCTCTTTTGAAGAATCTTTTTTTAAGTAATATTATCAAGATATATAAAATTTAACAATATTATTATATTTATAATAATTTCATTATTATTCTTGCTAATTATTCATATTTATATATATATATATTACTAATTAATTGCAACTTAATTTGCTAGCATTTTTGATATATATTAAGTATTGATAATAAAATATTCTTCCATATAACTTTAATTCCTAGATACTAATATAAAAGTAAAAAAATACAAGAATCAGAATTAAATAAGTAATCTTTCATAACAAATACTGATTTAATATAATTATATAATGATTACTTATCTTATTTCAGACTTTTTCTCATACATAATATTACTATAATTCACAGAAAAGATACCTTCTATTTAGAAATTCACCATGCAATTTAGAAATAGCATAATTATAATAAAATCTTCAATTTTTTACTTGGAAGATAATTCAGTATACTGTTAAGATAGATAATAAATTTCTTTATTATTTTAAAAGAAGTCTTAATAATTAATTTTTCAAAAAATAAAAAATTATTAATAATAATAATAATGATGATGATAATAACATTAATAAGAAAAATTTTGATCTAATTAAAGTTAAAAATTTAATTAAAAAATGATAGGAAGGATAATCTCTTATTAAGTAATTTAAGAGTAATGATAAAATATTAATTAAAAGCAAAAAATCTAGTGATTAAAATAAATATAATAAATATAGAGATATTGATCATTATGCTTTGACTTGTAAGAAATAGTAGAAAATAAGAAAAAATATGAAATAGAAGAGAAATATAAAATTATAACTATTATTATAAACTTTATAAAATAATTTAATATAAAACTTTTAGTAAAATACATAACTTTTTCAATAGTAATTCAACTATTTATTTTTCTTTTTTATTCACATTATTTACTTTATTTACTCTAAGCTTGTTTATTAGTAATTATAATAATAATAATAAATATAATAAGTAAAATTATGATTTTCAATTAGAAATTTATCTATTTACTTATTTTATTTCTATCTACTTATTATTTTATTTATCTGTTATCTAATTATTCAACTAATAATAATTAAATTATGATAAATAAAATTATAATTTTTAATTAGAAATTTAGTTATTTACTTACTTTATTCCTATTTACTCACTATTTTATTTATCTGTTATCTAATTAATCAATTAATAATAATTAAATTATAATAAGTAAAGTTATGATTTTTTATAATTCAACTATTAATCTGTCATCCTATTTATTGATAACTAATAGTAACTAATAAAAATCAGATTATGATAAGTAGAATTATAATTTTTTTGATAGTAATTTAGCTATTTACTTATCTGAATATATTATTTTTATCCTATTTACTCATTATTCTATTAATAATTAATAAATAACTTATAATAAGTAAAATTATAATTTTTGATAGAAAAAGATAAGAATCAACTATTTACTTA